TCCTCCTCCAAGGGGATCTTCCTGACCCAGCGACTGAACCTGCGTCTCCTACATTGGCAGGAGGAATCTTTACCACTATGCCACTGATCCTCTATCATACTGTAATTATGGAATCTCTCCTTTACTGAGCACCATCAGGACCAGACTTTTGGCTAACCACTCCACACTAACCAGACATGGGAGGAAACTGAGGTTTACAGAAGTTAAGAAAGTGGCCCACTCTTGGCTGGTCAGTGGAAGAACAATGATCCAACCTCAGAGTACAAGCTTTATACCACCGAGGAATCTGCTAGTGGGAGGTGGGAGTCCTGGCTGAAGTCTGAGGCTGGAGGGATCACACAGGGAGTTAATGAAGATGTGTGTGTGGAGACAGATCTAGCACATAACTACAAAAATGACTTTCAAACAAAGGAACTGACTCTAAATAATTTAGCCTTTGTCTGTTTCTCTCTCTCTAGGGAACTGCTTTTACCTTTCACTTACTTACTTATATAAGTTTTTATCTTTTACTTACTTACAAAAGTTCTTATCTGCTATACTGCTTTGTAAAAATCTTCACTGTGTATGTGCTTGTCTTTTTTGTGTCTCTACTTCACAGAAATTTTAAGTTTTAATGTAATCAAATTTATATTTAAATATATGCTTTACCATTAAAAATATGGTTTGTGATATGTAAGCTTGAGAACTTTTCCTATCTTAATATTTTTTTAAAAATATTTTCTTCTAAAAGTTATACAAAGTTTTTTTTTCTATAATTAGGCCCAGTCAACCTAGAGTTTATTTTTGTGCATGGCGTGAGATGAGATCTAATTTTATTCACCTCTACATGAATAAGTAGCTACCCCTGCACCAGTCATTGAAAGGTCCACCCTTTCCTTACTCATTTGTCATGTGCCTCTGTCTTATGTCTAAGTTTCCAAACATTTGTGGATATGCTTTTAGGGTTCCTAATCTGTTCTACTGTTATCTTCATGTATCTTTGCATCAATTTCACTACTCTAACAACTAGTCTTGGTACCTGGTAGTAGTAGTGTCTTTTTTGTTGTTCTTCAAAATTATCTTAGTTATTCTTGGCCTTTTACTCTCCCTTATTAATTTATAATCAGATTATAAGATTATTAAAAAAAAAAAAACCCTCAGGCTTTCAAATGGCACTACACTAGATTTAGATAAATTCAGGGTGAAATGTATCTTGTAATACTGAGTTTACCAATCCATGAACATGGTTTATCTTCCCATTTACTCAGACACTCTTTTATATCCATTATATATTTCTTGCTCCTCTGTTAGTGTTATTTCTAAATACCTTATAGCTATTTTTATATTATGAATGAAATAATATTTCCTGTAGTATTTTTCTAATTGATTACTACTGATACAAGAAAGGGGCTTCCCAGGTGGCACTAGTGGTAAAGAATTCGCCTGCTAATACAGGAGACTCAAGACACTCAGGTTCAATCAGGAGGAGGCCATGGTAACCCACTCCAGTATTCTTGCCTGGAGAAACCCATGGATAAAGGAGCCTGGCAGGCTACAGTCCGTGGGGTCAGAAAAGAGACACGACTGAAGAGACTGAGCACACACACACGATACAAGAATGCAATTTTAGTGCTTCTCTTCTTTTGGCAACAGTGATGAATTATCTTATTTTTAATGATTGATCTGAAGATCTTGAATTTTTTTATGCAATCATATCATATGGAAACAAGAAGTTTTCTCTTTCTTCCTTTCAACCTCTTACTTATCACTTGTTTTTTCCCTTGATTTCCTGTAATGACTAGTACCTATAGCAGAGCTGAACAAAAAAAGTGATTAGAAGGTATTCTTCTTTGTTTTTGTCTTTCAACAGAAATCCCTTTGAAACTTCGGAATTAATCATGATGTTTGACATGGCTTTTATCAACTCAAAGAGTTTCTGTTGTTTTGTTCATAAATGAGTGCCTTTTTGTTACTTTGTTCATGAAGGTATTTTAACAAATGCTTTTCTTGAGTCTACTGAAACGACTGCCTATCACTTTGAATTACTTAAACTGTGGAACCCACTCGATTGTGAGGAAATAAATTTAATGTACTGAAAGATCTAAATTTTTTTTAAAAAAACAGAATATAACAGAGGGTACCAGACTACATCTGAAAATATAAGATAGGTAGTGTTTGGTAAAACTTTTGCTGCAGTGGCTTATACGTGCCATGAGTAAAATGTACTGTGGGTTGTATAAAGAAAAGTTTGAAAGCCATTGACCACTTTTCAGTACATGAAAAAGTACTGTTACGGGAGGGGGGATCGGGATGGGGAACACATGTAAATCCATGGCTGATTCATGTCAATGTATGGCAAAAACCACTACAATATTGTAAAGTAATTAGCCTCCAACTAATAAAAATAAATGGGAAAAAAAAAAGTACTGTTAAGGATAAGCATTTTGTTGTAAGGTTTTCTTAAAAGCACACAATACTTGATCTTTGCTCATTTAAAAACACCTAGCTTTAAAGTATTACTAATATTAAAATAATAAACCACATTCCCTAGATGGACAAAATGGGCCACATTCATAGAATCATCTGAAGTTACTAAAAAATAATAAATGTAAATTAAGTATTAATTTCTGACAAGGTTTGTTCTGCAAGAATAACTTTAAGTAAGGGTATTTATTACAGCTTTTATCACATTTTCAAACTTGTCTATAACCTTAATAATGGACAGAACCTCTACTCTAAAAAAGCTCAACATTAGTTTATATTTCTAAAATCAACAGGTAACTTAGTATTTGCATTACTTACATCACATTTTCTGTACTTTTGTATTAAGTCTGGCTAACTCATCTCTCAGCTGTTTATATTACTTCATACTTTGTTGACTAACTACCTAGCCTTGTCAGAGGTTATGAAAACAAATATGTTCTCAAACTCCACCTCTATATAATTGACCATTCAATGTTTTTCTTCACTTATCACCCCTGAAACCTTCCTGTAAGATATCTTAAGATTGTTTTGTGTTTGTGACCAGAGGCAATACTGCTCACCTTATTCACTGGATGTATTTCTGGAAGATCTGTGGCTGCTTCCTGATTATACTGACTGTGATTTATCATCAGTGAGACCATTTTAAAGGCGGCGACTCCCAAAAAAGAGTTCTAACACATTCTGACAACAGCAGCATTGTTGGTGGAAGCACCTAACCTGCTAAAGGGACTATTTAAAGGACAACAATCATTGGATGTAGTGATTTTGAAATTTGGTTTTTAAATTCATATTCCCTCTTGATATACCATGTATGCTCATGTCCTCTATAAAAGCCACTTTTCAGAAAATTAATCATTACATAGGCATTTTAAGGACCACAATATTCACCTTAGCAATGATACAAGGTGCCAAGTGTTACAAGTCTAAAGAATACAGTATTGCTGCTTCTAACTGGAGTTTTTAAAGACTCCTATTTTGCTATGCTAATTCTCTGGCTGCTGCTGGATATATTAGAATAGTATCCAAACTGAAAGAAAGCTGGCTTCATAATCTTTTTCAAAAGTCCCCCAAATAAACTTATAAGCGTAAATTTAAGTACACTAAACAATCTATTTTTTTATGCTATTTTATAATCCCCAAAGCAGTGTTTTAAAAATCAGAGCAACCTTTCACAATGATTACATCTGGTAAAGTGGGAATGGCAACAGTCGATAAAGAAAAGGGCAACTTTTTGTTTTTGCTTTTTTAAAACATAGTTTTGTATTATTTAAATATTTTAGATGTACTTTTTAATGAAAAACTGAATAAAGAAAAAGGGAACAATTACAAAATCAGGAATCTCCAAATTTATGTTATGCTACTCCCTGTCATCCCATCTCTAATTTTCTACTAGGATGTTGCAGCACTTTGACAGCAGGGACCTTGTGTGTCTTTTACAGTCAAGCCTGGAGCAGACACCATGCATTTATCTATCTGTACATAGTAGAGGCAGAGGCAATGGGAGTAGGGGATTCAATAAGCCCTGGAGTGGACATTCTATTTATTCAGAATAAAGAGCTCTATTATCTCCTCTCTTTGAAATGCTGGTTAATATCTACTCACAACTCTTTAACTGCTCTGCTCCTGAAATAGCTAGACCCCTATTTGTATGGGATGGCCAGAGGTACCCTCTAGAGGGCTAAATAACTGGTTAGGCCACTGTTATTACAATTTCAAGAATATCATTTCATATATTACATTCAAAGTCCAATGCCAGAATCCCTCTGTTGTATACCTGAAAATTATATAATATTGTACATTGACTATACTTCAATTAAAAAAAAATCCAAAGCCAAGAGCCTAACTGTTATTGACATCCTTTTTTTTAAACTACTAGCCAAAATGTTATTCATCTGTTAAAAGAATTATTACCACTTCATTCTTACTATTTCTAAAACCTAAATTTAATTTTATATCTTGTTATCCAATAAACTTGTTTCATATTTTGTTACTCTTCCTTCTCATTAACCTATCACGTTCTCCATAAAGCTCAAATACCTAAGCTTTAACCCTTTTTTTAGGTCAAATATAGGTGTTTCCCCAAAGACTTGCCAAACAACATACACATAGGGGTATGGTTTAAGAAATACCAGGGCAGGACTTTCCTAGTGGCCCAGGGGTTAACAATCTGCCTTGCAATGCAGGAGACACAGGTTCGACCCCTGGTCAGGGAACTAAGACCCCACGTGCCACAGAGCAACAAAGTCTCTGTGCTTCAGAATCGACTCACCACAACTAGAGAGTCTGTTCGCCCTAACAAAAGATCCTCATGCATGATGCAACTAAGACCTGATGCAAGCAAATAAACAATTATTTAAAAAAGAAAGAAAGAAAGAAACACCAGGGAGGAACAATGACATAGCCACCACTTATCAGCTCCAAACTCTAAGGAGTTCTGCAATCTTCTATCCTAACTGTAAAACACAATCCTGGGCAAAGAGGCCATGGTTTAAATGAGGTTAAGGAGAACTAACGCATTAAAGCCGCTGCTGACAAACCTGTTCCAAATTTACTGAAGGGATGTTTGGGATTCCCTGTAGCTTTCTCCAGCTGAAAGAGTCTCCAGGCATCGTTCATCACATTCTTCTCATGTTCTGAATCAACTGCATTCACCTCTCTGTCTTTGCAGCTCTCATCAAACAAGGGGCACAGGAAAAACTGTGCAAATCTAAGGGTATGAAACATAATTAACAATTTGAAAGTTGTTATTTTAAGAGTGGCCTCAGAAAAATGTTTTAAAAAATGTTTGAAACTTAGGAAATGTGAATTCTACAGAATCAGAGAAAACTACCATTGCTACAAAGAAAAAAGGAACATAAGTTCTAAGTAATATAAGAAAAGAATAATATTATACATATGTAAATTCAGAGAACTCTACCCCAGAAGTTACCTAATTAGTGAAAATATAAAAAGATTAACCTCTGATTTTGACAATTCCCATGTGTTGTTACCATACCACCATGCAGTTCACCAGCTGGGTATCCTAAAATTCAACTCAATTGATATCACGAGATCTCACAGGTCCTACATGACTCATCCCTCCCTCTCACCCCTTCCCCTCTGTCCCCAACTTCAAACACCAACCACAGGTCCAGGTTGTCACCTGGGCTTCTGACCAACCACTATAGATCATAGATCAGAGGCTCCCACAACCACCTCCTTGGGGGCAATTAATATTCTAGATCAGCTACAGGACTCAGAGAAACATTTTACTTACTAGATTACTGGATTTATTATAAAAAGGATATGATTCAGGAACAGCTAGATGAAAGAGATGCGTAAGGCAAGGTATATGGGAAGGGTACAGAGTTTCCATGCCCTCTAGGTAGGCCACTCTCCCCACATCTCCACATGTTCACCAATCTGTAGGCTCTCCAAACTTCAACAGAATTGAGTAAATCACTGGGCACTGGTGTCTGAAATCAACCTCCAGCTTGTGGACTGAAAGTTCCAACCCTCTAAATACAGGGCTGATTCCCCTGGCAACCAACCCCCAGCCTCAAATTATCAAGGGACTTTCTTAAAGTCACTTCATTAAAATAACAAAATACAACTTTATGGCTCTCAACACTAAGGAAATTCCAAGAGTTTCAGGAGCTATGGTCTAGGATAAGGGACAAAGACCAAATATATATTTCCTATTATAAATCACAATACAACAATAAAAAGTCAGGGCAGACTTGGAAAACAGTGGGGCAGATTTATAAGATAACAGCAATCTATCTATTTAAGATTTGCAATTTGGGATGTCTATAAAAATCTGTTGTACATGGCTAATTCTCCAAGAAAGGAAAACGCAGCTGATAGCTCTCAGGCAATAAATATTAAATTTAGTTTTAAGTGCAATTTCACTAAGACTTTTAGGACAAACTAAGTGACCTATTTTTAAAAGGCTCTATTTGAATATTTTTCCTTTTTAAGAACTTTATAATTAGTGAAAAAAATAATAGTATGAAAAACACATGATAGTAGTTTTGACTAAGATATAATTATGGACTTTTATGAAATATTGAGAATTTTTAAAATTTAAAAGCAGTGATTTGACAAATAAAATGGCATGTAACTTTAACATAAGTAACCTATTATATTTTTCTTGAGGCTGTTCTTTAACAGTAGTAGCAAAGCTGAACTAAGATTCCTTTAGTTAATAAATTAACTCTCCTACACCAGGTTGTAATTTAAATCATGATTTCATATAGTAATTCTTCTTAAGAAATTTTTTTTTTCCATTTATTTTTATTAGTTGGAGGCTAATTACTTTACAATATTGCAGTGGTTTTTGTCATACATTGAAATGAATCAGCCATGGATTTACATGTATTCCCCATCCTGGTCCCCCCTCCCACCTCCCTCTCCACCCGATCCCTCTGGGTCTTCCCAGTGCACCAGGCCCGAGCACCTGTCTCATGCACCCAACCTGGGCTGGTGATCTGCATCACCCTAGATAATACACACGTTTCGATGCTGTTCTCTTGAAACATCCCACCCTCGCCTTCTCCCAGAGTCCACAAGTCTGTTCTATACATCTGAGTCTCTTTTTCTGTTTTGCATATAGGGTTATCATTACCATCTTTCTAAATTCCATATATATGTGTTAGTATACTGTAATGGTCTTTATCTTTCTGGCTTACTTCGCTCTGTATAATGGGCTCCAGTTTCATCCATCTCATTAGAACTGATTCAAATGAATTCTTTTTAATGGCTGAGCAATATTCCATGGTATATATGTACCACAGCTTCCTCATCCATTCGTCTGCTGATGGGCATCTAGGTTGCTTCCATGTCTTGGCTATTATAAACAGTGCTGTGATGAACATTGGGGTGCATGTGTCTCTTTCAGATCTGGTTTCCTCGGTGTGTATGCCCAGAAGTGGGATTGCTGGGTCATATGGCAGTTCTATTTCCAGCCTTTTAAGGAATCTCCACACTGTTTTCCATAATGGCTGTACTAATTTGCGTTCCCACCAACAGTGTAAGAGGGTTCCCTTTTCTCCACACCCTCTCCAGCATTTATTGCTTGTAGACTTTTGGATAGCAGCCATCCTGACTGGCGTGTAATGGTACCTCATTGTGGTTTTGATTTGCATTTCTCTGATAATGAGTGATGTTGAGCATCTTTTCATGTGTTTTTTTGCCATCTGTATGTCTTCCTTGGAGACATGTCTGTTTAGTTCTTTGGCCCATTTTTTGATTGGGTCATTTATTTTTCTGGAGTTGAGCTGGAGGAGTTGCTTGTATAATTTTGAGATTAATCCTTTGTCTGTTGCTTCGTTTGCTATTATTTTCTCCCAATCTGAGGGCTGTCTTTTCACCTTGCTTATAGTTTCCTTTGTTGTGCAAAAGCTTTTAAGTTTCATTAGGTCCCATTTGTTTATTTTTGCTTTTGTTTCTAAAATTCTGGGATGTGGGTCATAGAGGATCCTGCTGTGATTTATGTCGGAGAGTGTTTTGCCTATGTTCTCCTCTAGGAGTTTTATAGTTTCTGGTCTTACATTTAGATCTTTAATCCATTTTGAGTTTATTTTTGTGTATGGTGTTAGAAAGTGTTCTAGTTTCATTCTTTTACAGGTGGTTGACCAGTTTTCCCAGCACCACTTGTTAAAGAGGTTGTCTTTTTTCCATTGTATGTCCTTGCCTCCTTTGTCGAAGATAAGGTGACCATAGGTTCGTGGATTTATCTCTGGGCTTTCTATTCTGTTCCATTGATCTATATTTCTGTCTTTGTGCCAGTACCATACTGTCTTGTTGACTGTGGCTTTGTAGTATAGTCTGAAGTCAGGCAGGTTGATTCCTCCAGTTCCATTCTTCTTTCTCAAGATTACTTTGGCTATTCGAGGTTTTTTGTATTTCCATACAAATTGTGAAATTATTTGTTCTAGTTCTGTGAAAAATACCGTTGGTAGTTTGATAGGGATTGCATTGAATCTATAGATTGCTTTGGGTAGTATAGCCATTTTGACAATATTGATTCTTCCAATCCATGAACACGGTATATTTCTCCATCTGTTTGTGTCCTCTTTGATTTCTTTCATCAGTGTTTTATAGTTTTCTATGTATGGGTCTTTTGTTTCTTTAGGTAGATATACTCCTAAGTATTTTATTCTTTTTGTTGCAATGGTGAATGGTATTGTTTCCTTAATTTCTCTTTCTGTTTTCTCATTGTTAGTGTATAGGAATGCAAGAGATTTCTGTGTGTTACTTTTATATCCTGCAACTTTACTGTAGACCCCATCTTATAAAAACAACATCCAGAGTTCAGATAAAGCCAAGAGCAGAGACTGTCTGAATGGGACTACTATTCAGTGGGCCTAGAGACTCCTGGGTTTATAAACATCTCAGCAACTGCACCTCACAGTGCAGCCATCAAAGAAGCTGTTACCATTACCTGCTATTATTTTAAGCACATAGTGAATACAGTCCTGTGCTAAGTATTTTACACATACCAATCCAAAGGGTAACACTGTCTATCTGGAGCCTATAATTAAAGATATATGAAAACAGATAATTCTGGACATATAACCACTTTTACCTACCTCAATACACTCAGGCTGGGAAAAGTACCTAATAGCTACATACCATAGCTGGACAAAGCCATATAAAGGGCCATGATTCTGACAAAGTACAATCAGTACTTTTAAAAGATGCCCTATACAAGTAGCTTTTTTTTTTTTTCCATTCTGATCCAAGTAACAGACATCCTCCATCATACAGAGATCTATTATATGAACATCTGCTGAGGCATTTGTAAAGCAGGAAATTAAATTCGGTGTATGATCCCAAGGAACTCATTAATGGAAGTCTTCTGGGAATACATACAAAAGATGATTACATCTCAAAGCTGCTGCCTAAAGACTGAAACATAAGCTAGAGCAAGTAAGAAACAGACTACTCTGACCCAGTCCTGTATCCTGAACCCATGCCTTTGTTCTTCTGTTAATGTTCTTTGTGCTACTGACCAAATTCAAACTATTAGGTTTGGGGAAAAAAATGACTATTAATTTAAATAAGCAATTAAAGCTGAGAATTAAAAACTGTGAAATCAAACTTCATTATAAATCCATCAGAAACGCTGCAGAATTACACCTTCTTGGTAACACAGAGAACTATAAAAATTCACCAAGGGAAAAATTACACATTGAACAAACAATGAATCAAATCATTGATATAATGAAAAATTAGATACTGTTAGCCGCTCAGAAAATTGACCAAGAAATTTAATTAGCCTAATGGAGGCTGCTCCAGAAAATACTTTCACAAAATATCCCCAGGGTTGAAACAGCAGGTCAAAATGTATCCACTAAATATCCTTGAGGACTGAGGAACTAAAGGAGAACAGAATATTTAAGTTCTTGTATTCTGGAACAGAAATATGTTTGAAAAGATATCCATGACATGAGTACAGTTTATTCTTCATCATATGCTTCATATGCAATACTAGTTAGAATGGGAAAGGCTGGTGAAAATTTTATAAGTCAAAAAAACATTTTGTAGGCCTGAAAGCTGGTTTAAAGTCATGCCATTATTTCTCCTCTACTACAAAGTAAATATATAACATCACTTATTATTTTCTATTTATAAAACCCAGGGGTCAAAAAGTACTGGTTAAAAAACAAAACAAAACAACAAAATACTGGTTAAAATATCTTGTTAAGCTATAAAGCTGTGAAGACATTTTTGTAAAAATGTTAAGTATTGTTATTAACATGATAATTCACAAAGTGGGATGATTCACAAGGTATTTTCAGCATTACCTGTCTAGTGCACCTTCTAGGTGTTCATGAGAAACATCAAAATAGTAATTGGTATGCTCTCCACTAGTGAAGGCATTTGAACTTCCTGCATGCTCACTGAGAAACTGGCTGTATTCATTTTCTTTAGGGTATTTCTTTGTTCCCAAAAATAACATATGTTCACAAAAATGACTTAAGCCAGCAATATTTGGAGGATCTGACAACGAACCTGAAAGAGAAGGGAAAAAATATATATAATAAATCATTTGTTTATATGTTCAAAGATATCAAGGACAGATGAATCACAGGTGATTTGGAACTTCTGTTAGCAATGGTAACTCCAACCATAATCACAGAAAGTTAAGTACAGGCTACTCTAAATGGTACAACTTACATGCTAGCCCTAGCTTTTGACATCAATTTGTTGTCATTGTTCAGCTGCTCAGTTGTGTCTGACTCTTTGCAACCCTATGGATTACAGCATGCCAGGCTTCCCTATGCCCCTCACTAGCTCCCGGAGTTTTTGCTCAAATTCATGTCCATTGTATTGGTGATGCTATCTAACCATCTTATCCTCTGCTGTCCCCTCCTCCTATTGCCTTCAATTTTTTCCAGCATTAGGGTCTTTTCTAATGAGTTGGCTCTTTGCATCACGTGACCAAAGTATTAGAGCTTCAGCAACAGTCCTTCCAACGAATATTCAGGGTTGATTTCCTTTAGGATTGATCTCCTTGCTGTCCAAGGGACTCTCAAGAGTCTTCTCCAGCACCACAATTCGAAAGCATCAATTCTTCAGCACTCAGGTTTCTTTATGGTCCAACTCTAATATCCATACATGACTACTGGAAAAACCATAGCTTTGACTAACTGGACAGTATGGACCTTTGTCAGCAAAGTGATGTCTCTGCTTTTTAATATGCTATCTAGGTTTATCATTGCTTTCCTTTCAAGAAGCAAGTGTCTTTCAATTTCATGGCTACAGTCACCGTACACAGTGATTCTGGAGCCCAAGAAATTAAAATCTGTCGTCATCAGACTGACATCAGTTACTTGGTGACTTTCAACAGATACTTAACCTCTCTGGACAGTAGTGTCCTCACACATCACACTGAGAGAAAGAGCTGAATTCACTGTTTTGTAAGAGCTAGAAAATTCTAGCTTTTATATTTTACTGAAGGAGACAATATAGGGTGGTGCTAAGAGCACAAGTTAGCACGTCTACTAGCTGGGAAAGGTTGAGCAAAATATTTTGTTTCAGTCACTTTTTGTATATATACTTCCCTTAAGAGAGTTGAGCAACTTCAAATTAGATGACAATTTGCAAGGCACACTGAATTGTGCTTGGCAATAATCATTTGTCCAACTTACGATGATGATTATCTTATTTTCCCAATTCTAAAATGCCATTGAATTAAAAAACAGTTTTTCAGAGAGGAAAAAAACTAAATGTACACATAGATAAGGAGTAACTTGATTAAAGCAGCATTAAATGTGGAAGAAAAGTGCACACAAGAATTTAGGAAATATGCTATTCCTAGTGTATCAAGTGTGTATGAAATAAAAGCCAGCAGAACTGTTACTGTAAAGGATAGGAATGAATTTCCTCGCTGCTAAGTCACTTTTACTGGAAACCTAATAAGACCCTTCTGGTAAAGGTGTATGTGCGCTTAGTCGCTCAGTCGAGTCCGACTCTTTGTGACCCCATGGACTGTAGCCCATCAGGCTCTTCTGTCCATGGGGATTCTCCAGGCAAGAATACTAAACTGGGTTGCCAAGCCTCCTCCAGGGGATCTTCCCAACCCAGTGAGAGAACCCAGTTCTTCCGCATTGTAGGTGGATTCTTTACCATGTGAGCCACCAAGGAAGCTTGGTAAAGGCAGGGTGATTTAACGTAGACGACGGTAGATTACCAAAAGCTGTAGATGGCTACTGTACACAGTAACATACATCAATCTGGTAACTGCCAGGTCTCCACTGCACAAATATGGAGAGCCCAAATAACTGCAAACATTAGGTCAACAAAACTGCACAAAGCTTAATTCACAATTTTAAATTGTACCTATGTGCACATCAAGTGCTGCTGATGATTTATCTGTTGTTGGATCACTGACAAGAAGTACTTTGATCCCATTGGCCAGCTCAAGTCCGCGGTATTCTCGCTTGTCTTCATGGGATTTGATGATATGATTTCCTATTCTCTTGATTGCTGGATTATTCATTTTGCTGTAAGTCTTTTTTTGGAAACTGAAAAGAAAAAAACTTATTAATTGTTGGATTGTGGTTTCTTTTTGTTTTAATGATCAAGGAGTAACAAGCAAACCCATATATTATCAGAGTAAAAAATGTATACAACAAAGTACAACTGACATACAATATTAGTTTCAGGTGTACAATAATGATTCATTACAAATTGATCACACAATAAGTCTAGTTACCATCTGTCACAAGACAAAGTTCTTAAAACATTACTGACTATATTCCATACATTCCCATTGACTTATTTATGACTGGAAATTTATTCCTCTTAATCACCTTCACCAATTTTGCCCAACTCCCTCTCCATTCTTTCCGCTAGAAACCAAGGATTTTCCCTCTGTATCTCTGAGTCTGCTTTGCTTGTTAACTGGATCTGTTTTTAGATTCCACATATAAATGAAATCATATAGTATTTGTCTTTCTCTGTCTGACTTAATTTCGCTTAGCATAATACTCCTATAGGTCCACACCTACTCCTGTAGGTGTGTGTATTGTACACACCTCATAGACACACATACACACAGAGAAATATTACTCAGCCATGAAAAATAATGAAATCTTGCCATTTGTCATTCATCCATTGAACATTTGGGTGTTACTTCCATATCTTGGTTACCACAAATAATGCCACAACGAACATAGGACTGCCAATATTTTTCAAATCAGTGTTCTCATACTCTTTAGATAAATACCCAGAATTTGCTAGACTGCATGGTAGTTCTACTTTTAATTTTTTGAGAAACTTCCATGCTGTTTTCCGTAGTGCATGCTCCAATTTATAGCGTACCAAAGGATTCCCTTTTCTCCACATCTTCACCAACACTTACTTGTTGCTGTTTTTTGCTCACATTTCTTTGTACCTGTCTTGTGATGACTGGCACATCACTTCTTACTTACATTGATTCATTAGTATTTCTTACATCATGGTTTCACACCTCAAGATTCAGTTATAAATTCATATTCCAAAGTTACACTAAGATCCAAATATAAAATGAATAATTCTAGCTTTCAATGCAGAAAAAAAGTTCGAATTGCTTTTTTAACTTAAGAGTAACAATGGTTCTTACTTTCTCTATACAGTACCACACTGTGGGCTTGCCAGGTGGTGCTAGTGGTAAAGAACTTGCCTGCCTGTGCAAGAGACATAAGAGACTTGGGTTCAATCCCTGGGTCGGGAAGGTCCCCTGGAGAAGGGAATGGCAACCCACTCCAGTATTCTTGCCTGGAGAATCCCACAGATAGAGGAGACTCGTGGGCTACAGTCCACAAGGTCACAAAGAGTTTGACACGACTGAAGCAACTCAGTATGCACACTGTAAAGTACACAGAAGCAAGACCACTTCTAGAGGATACAGCATGTGACAGTGTAAACCAGACCCGTGAACTAACTTAGGTGATTGTATGCATTAGATGTAATGCACATTTACATCTTTGAAAGTTGGAAACTTAACTAAAGGTTCGTATGTAGGGGACTTACTGTAATGTCTTTTTTTGTCTTTTGTAACAGTCTTTGTTTCAAAACCTATTTTGTCAACTGTAAGTTTTGTTAATCCAGCTTTCTTACATTCCTATTTGCATAAAATCTTTTTCCACCCCTTCACTTTTAGTCTCTCTGTGTAAATCTGAAGTGAGTCTCTTGCAGGCAGCATATAAATGGGGTCTTTTTTTTTTTCCCATTTATTTTTATTAGTTGGAGGCTAATTACTTTACAACATTGCAGTGGTTTTTGTCATACATTGAAATGAATTAGCCATGGACTTACATGTATTCCCCATCCCGGTCCCCCCTCCCACCTCCCTCTCCACCCGATCCCTCTGGGTCTTCCCAGTGCACCAGGCCCGAGCACTTGTCTCATGCATCCAACCTGGGCTGGTGATCTGTTTCACCCTAGATAATATACATGTTTCGATGCTGTTCTCTTGAAACATCCCACCCTCGCCTTCTCCCACAGAGTCCACAAGTCTGTTCTATACAACTGAGTCTCTTTTTCTGTTTTGCATATAGGGTTATCATTACCATCTTTCTAAATTCCATATATATGTGTTAGTATACTGTAATGGTCTTTATCTTTCTGGCTTACTTCGCTCTGTATAATGGGCTCCAGTTTCATCCATCTCATTAGAACTGATTCAAATGAATTCTTTTTAATGGCTGAGTAATATTCCATAGTGTATATGTACCACAGCTTCCTCATCCATTCGTCTGCTGATGGGCATCTAGGTTGCTTCCATGTCTTGGCTATTATAAATAGTGCTGTGATGAACATTGGGGTGCACGTGTCTCTTTCAGATCTGGTTTCCTCAGTGTGTATGCCCAGAAGTGGTATTGCTGGGTCATATGGCAGTTCTATTTCCAGCTTTTTAAGGAATCTCCACACTGTTTTCCATAATGGCTGTACTAATTTGCGTTCCCACCAACAGTGTAAGAGGGTTCCCTTTTCTCCACACCCTCTCCAGCATTTATTGCTTGTAGACTTTTGGATAGCAGCCATCCTGACTGGCGTGTAATGGTACCTCATTGTGGTTTTGATTTGCATTTCTCTGATAATGAGTGATGTTGAGCATCTTTTCATGTGTTTTTTTGCCATCTGTATGTCTTCCTTGGAGACATGTCTGTTTAGTTCTTTGGCCCATTTTTTGATTGGGTCATTTATTTTTCTGGAGTTGAGCTGGAGGAGTTGCTTGTATAATTTTGAGATTAATCCTTTGTCTGCTGCTTCGTTTGCTATTATTTTCTCCCAATCTGAGGGCTGTCTTTTCACCTTGCTTATAGTTTCCTTTGTTGTGCAAAAGCTTTTAAGTTTCATTAGGTCCCATTTGTTTATTTTTGCTTTTGTTTCTAAAATTCTGGGATGTGGGTCATAGAGGATCCTGCTGTGATTTATGTCGGAGAGTGTTTTGCCTATGTTCTCCTCTAGGAGTTTTATAGTTTCTGGTCTTACATTTAGATCTTTAATCCATTTTGAGTTTATTTTTGTGTATGGTGTTAGAAAGTGTTCTAGTTTCATTCTTTTACAGGTGGTTGACCAGTTTTCCCAGCACCACTTGTTAAAGAGGTTGTCTTTTTTCCACTGTATATCCTTGCCTCCTTTGAAATGGGGTCTTTGTTTTTTTATATCCACTTAGCCATCCTATGTCTTTTGATTAGAGCATTTAGTTCATTCACATTTAAAGCAATTATTTTTAGCAACATACTTATTGCCATTTTGTTAACTGTTTTCTGGTTGTTTTTGTAATTCTTCTCTGTTCCTTTCTTATTCTCCTATTCCTTTCCCTTGTGATTTGATGACTTTCTTTAGAGTTATGTTTGTATTTCTTCTTCTTTATTTTTTGCGTATCTATTATACTATAGGTTTTTGTTTGTGGCTACCATGGGGTTCAGTTTAGTTCAGTTCAGTCGCTCAGTCGTGTCTGACTCTGCAACCCCATGAATCGCAGCACGCCACAACAAATCTGAAAATCCGTCTTGCTAGTCCTTAGGTCATTCTCAAAGACAGTTGTTCTACATGTAGTTGCAGTTTTGGTGTGTCCATGGAAGGAGGTGCACTCAAGATCTTCCTACTCTGCCATTTGATCTAGACTCTAGAGGAGACTTTATAGTCTATCTATAATCATTCCTCTCCTCCATCTTAACCATCATTCTTTCAGATAAGTGATAAAAGTATTGCTTTTGTTGAGCCATATTTGTATCTAGGAGAACACATCATTGGGGATTTGTGACAGGATTGGGCCACAAGCTGATTACTGTGCTGACTTAGAAGAGTTTTTAAATACCAATAACTGCTTTCCAACATACTTCAAGGCTATCTACGAGAGTAAGTGAGGTGATAAATTGAGAAAGTATTATTATTGGGTCAACCAAAACACTGCTCAAACTTATGATGTTCAGAGACAGAGGAGATCTGGAACTCATGGACTGATATTCACTTGCTCAGAACCTAGGGAACAACACCATTGAGGGAAAAATCCTCTGAAGGCCTAATAAAAATAAGAGACCTGGGTTGTCTTACGAAGGCAGCAAAAGTAAACACACAAAAACAAACAAACGAAAAGCTGGAAGGACCCCAGGAAATTTTTGTAATCTGGTGAAGAGTTGAATGCCACAGTGGGAACAGTTCAATGATCATAACAGACATGTTAGATAATTTCTCTTACAAAGAACTTCCCTTTCACTCCTAGTCCTCTCCTTTCTTCTAGAGGAAGGCTGGAGTTACAGTGATGGGAAGGGACCCACCCCTTCACTGCATCCATAAGTTCATATGAGTGCAGTGAAGGGGTTTTCCAAATCCGCAATATGTATGTTTTTGAGACTAAGAGTAAACACTATTTTTGTCTATGCTGGGAACTGCTTAAGAGACCAAAATTGAGCCTGTTATATTAGCAGGTCAAAATACAAGTCAGGTGAAGCAAAACAATTTTCCAAAACTACAGAGGAAAAAAATGATCCTGTGCTAACGTATTTGCTTTTCACCTGGAACACAAAAGAAATGGATCTAATTGCCCCTTAACAACTAACAGACATCCAGATTTAAAGGTAAATCAGGACTTCCCTGTTTGTCCAGTAGTTAAGGATCCACCTGCTAATGCAAGGGACTTGGGTTCCATCCCTGGTCCGGGAAGATCCCACATGCTGTGGGGCAGTTAAGCCTGTGTGCCACAACTACTGAGCCCATGCTGTAGAGATTGTGCTCCACAAGGGAACCCCAGCTAGAGAGTAGCCCCCACTCTCTGCAACTAGAGAAATCCTGCTCATGGCAACAAAGAACCTGTGAGCCACAACATGACCCAGCACAGCCAAAACTAAACTTAAAAAAATAAAATTTCTAAAAACAATAATAAAGGTAAAGCAAAGGGGACATAAACAGGCATGCAACTAATTTTGGATAAAATTTCAAATTTTTTTGTGTTAGAAATCTCTGGAGATTACAGAAGGGAAAATCTAGTTTGCTTTTATCAGAATATCTTTCTCTATGAAATCATCAGTAACTA